TAACGACTGAGTAAGGGAGCATAATCGACATAAGGTCAGGATAGTCCATGGCTGAGTAATGCGAGTAATCCGGACGCTGTCTAGAATAGTCCGGAACATCGTAGAACGTACCAGAATCATGTGAGGGATGGCAGGATGCCAAGTAAGTACAGAACAAAAGAATGTACGTATATGGTAAGTAGGAAAGTCCATGCTGGCGTATGGTAGACGCACAGCCACTATCACTGCCACTCCCGGTCCGGCACAGCCGTAGACACAGAAGTTCAACACTCGACACATCCGACGGACTCCGCAACGCTGCTTCCGCCCTTTCGTGCTACCCCGCTTGCTGTGCGCCTCAACACTTGGTGGTTCTCCGCCCTAGTGTGCGCACTGCTCTCGGCGTCCCTGGGGCTGCTCGTGAAGCAATGGCTGAGGGAGTATCTCGCGGGCTCTGCCAACATCTCTCGTGAAAGCATCCGGATCCGCCAATACCGCCACGCAGGTCTTGAGAGGTGGCATGTACCCGAGATTATCCTTTTCCTCCCGATGCTCCTCCAACTGGCGCTCGTGCTGTTCTTCGCTGGGCTAATCGACCTGCTGTGGTCTCTCAACCACATTGTGGCCGCGGTCGTGTCCGGCATCGTCGCTGTTGCTGCCCTCTTCGCCGCAATGACGACCCTCACCCCACCGCTGTACGCAGACTGCCCTTACAAGTCCCCGCAGTCCTGGCTCCTGTGCATATTAATCCAGTCGACAAAGCGCGCGATTGTAGCAGCCGCTACGAGCTTCTACGGACACCTGCACCACCCCGGGACCGCCGTGGACCCGCTCGCGAGTCGCCTCGACCTCCCGACGATCGTCCACAACAAGCTCTCGGGCGCGTTCCGCGCGTGGCTGTACGAGGTCTCTCTCAGTCGGCCGTTCGCAAGCTGGAAGGAGCGCGAGCAGGCGCGTGCGAACGGGACCGCGTCGACGCTCGACGACGCGACGCTCGCGAGCGCGGACGCGACGTTTATGGACGACGCGTTCCTGCACGCGGTCGTGCGTCCGTGCATGGGCGACATCGAGCCGCGCGCGGCGCTCCGCTGTCTCGACCGCATCCTGCTCCGGCGCGCCCCACGCGTGATCTACGGGCTGCCGTACTGGGAGCTCGGCGCGCTCGACGCGGGAGACAAGGGTACGGTGACGCTCATGCACCTCCTCCTAGACGTGCTTCACCGGCTGAACCAAGACGAGGCGGAGGACGAGGCGGATGAGCCGCGCCAACACCTATTGACGACCATGCACCGGTTGGTCCGTGCCATTCCGGGACTCACAGGGAGCTCGTCGTCGATTGATCCTGCCACTCATGCGCTGCTGGGACGGACGTTTGAGGTCCTCGCGGGTGTCATAAATCCTGGGGAATCTCGGCTTCCACCGACGAATTTTGTGCGCGAACGCGCGTTCCACTTGATGTTCAAGCTCTTCCCCCGTTTCCAAGCTGTGGGTCCAACATGTAAGCCTCCATATTTGCTCCAACACCTCCCTAGCATCTAATCATGTGCATAGCCATTGTGGCATTCTGCGCATACAGCAAGAAGATGCGGGCCGACAACTCGCCCTACCGGTTCGTGCAGGCCAGCTGCATGGTCATCCGGGCATCTGCTACGCTCGCGCACGGAGTAATAGGAAGCGGGTCTACCACGGTGGCTCCCGACATCATCCACAAGCTAACTCCTTACGCCCTGGACGATCCGCACACAGCGCCCGCCTCTAGGGCGAGTACTTTGTCGCTTTTGTATTCCGAGCCGATGGCCAATGGCGGTACGCTACCCGGGGTAGGCTCTGAAAACGGATCTGGCAGGGACGAGTACACGTCCATCCGGCCTGCGGTAATTGGTGCCCTGCTCGACCTGGAAGACTTCTTCTCAATCCCTGTCGCGCGCGCGGCGGATTGCCGGCCTACTATGGCCATGCTCGCAGAATGCGCCGAGGCGGTCGTCGCTCTATCGGGACGAGATAGACATGCCATCTCACCCGGACTCGTTGATGCACTAACAGGAATGATTACGGACGCATGGGTGGTCGGAACGAGCGCAGGGGACCCCGCAGAAGGGGGCTCGGACGACGAAGAAAGACAGGCGCGAGAGGAACACGGCCAGGCAGCGCGCCGGGCTGTCCGGTTGCTGAGGCGGACATATGGTTTGGGATGGCACGATGCCGACAGATGGAGGCCATGAAAACTGGGTCATATTGTACAGATGTATAGTACTTGCACGACATCGACGATCTATAAGTATAGTGTATGATCTATATGTGAATCGCGTGTTCGCATATCTTCCCGTCTAATGAGACGTGTTCAGTTCTACGGGCATTGGTGTACCCAACACCCCGTTGATCAGGTTGTTTGCCGCTAACGTCCCCATTTGGAGACGCGTCTCCGTGGTCGCGCTGCCCACGTGAGGCAATATGATACACCTGTGGAAACAGTCATTGATGATGTAGACTTTGATCTATGTGCGAGATACTTACCTCGGTGATTTGACCAGCGGATGATCCTGGGTGATCCCTGGTTCGCCCTCGACGACATCAAGACCAGCTCCGTATAGCCATCCTTCCTGCAGGGCCTTCGCGAGGGCGTCCGAGTCAATCAGCGTCCCCCGACCCGTGTTGACCAGCACCGCAGTCTTCTTCATCTGCTTCAGGAACGCCTCGTCGATGATGTGGAACGTCGATGGTCCCCCGGGGGCGAGCGCGAACACGACGTCGCTCTCTCGGGCGAGCTCTGACAGGTCTGTGCGCCGTACTTCCTTCACGCCATATTTTTCAGCGACCTTGGCGTCGGCAGCGGCGTTAGGAGGGGTCGCAGGATTCCCAGTGTAGAGACAGCGAGCAAAGCCGAAAGGGATGAGACGAGCGAGGGTCGCGTGTGCGATGCGTCCGAATCCGATGAACCCCGCAGTAGGTTTGGGGTTGACGGGGTTCGCGCTGATTTGCGGGCCACAAAATCCGAAGGGAGACCATACGAATGCAGGCCACTGAGATCCAAAAAAGCGAATTGAGCAAGTCAGATATGATAGATGTGCTAGACGGCACTCGCCTGTCCCGTGTTTACTATCTCGTGTGTTTGCTTGACATTACGTCCCGCCATGAGGGCGAGCATTATTGACATGTCGGCCACTGCGACAAGGTCAGTCTGCGGTACCGGCCTATTTGCATGCCAGATATCGTACTAGAATCGGTTAGGACGTCTGGAGTGTACCCGAGCTTGATACCGCGCTTGACAAGTTCAGGAACATTTATGTGCTCTAAATTGGATGTGTTTTAGCACCGGAGTTACCGATTGCTTCCTGAGAGAGACGTTGCAACACACCGTAGCCGACAGAAAACGTTGACACCGCCCGTAAGCTGGACCCGGCAGCCTCTAGAAGTTCCACATCAACCTGCACAACATCGACTTGGATTAGTTTAATTCGGAGATATCGGGTCCGCACTGCGTATACCTTACCTTATCAAAGTACATGACGAGAACACCGTACGCTCCGGGTATGTTTTCAAGCAACCACTTGCGGTCGCACGGCTTGTTTTCATGTGGCCAAGCAATGACCTGGAGGATAAACCGATCAACTTCAGCAGGCCGAACAATCGCTGCAATAAACGTCCCGAACTACTCACCTCCAGCTCGGGATGATCATTCAGTAACGACATGACGTCAGGCCCTAGATTCCGGGCCACCACGACCTTGCGACGAGGGGTAGCCATGAATGAACTTATCCGAAGGGAGGTGATGAAAGGTGATAGGTTCCTGGCGAGTTCGAACGTTCAAGTTCAATGAGAGGAGTTGCTGATCTACAGCGTAAGGGACACAAATTCTGAGTGTGAGTCGACCGCTTGGCTTCCGAGTCAGGAGCCAGGATGAGGCAAGCCTGGCCAAAGCTAAGCTTCATCAGCGAGTACTTTGTCGGGCCGATCTATCCGATCCGATCGGTGTCCTATTATTTATACCGTCACTTGTCAGTATACCTCAGGCTGGAGCCACGCGTCGAGGGTTAGAAATGATTGGAACCACGGCGTACAACAATGAAAGGTGAACGCCACAATGACACGGAGCGCGCGCAGTGTGTGCCAGGTTCTCATGTAGATTGGTCCCCTCGTGACTGATATTGTACAAACACATATATAGATGCTACACTGGCAATCGGTCAGTTCGGCCCATGCACACTGGGAGTAAATACTTACCTGTATGATCATTCCAGTCTACCGGGTGATGTTCAACTCTACGGGCATCTGTGCACCCAAGACCCCGTTGATCAAGTTATTTGCCGCCAAGGTCGCCATTTGAAGACGTGTCTCCGTGGTCGCACTCGCAATATGAGGCAAAACGATACATCTGCAGGCGCAGACAACAGTCAACCAAGCGTAATAAGTACGAGGCGCAGGTCCTACCTGGGTGCCGTCACAAGCGGATGATTCTGATCAACCTTCGGCTCGCCTTCGACGACGTCAATCCCAGCCCCGTAAAGCCAGCCTTCGTGGAGAGCTTTCGACAGTGCATCCGAATCGACCAACGTCCCGCGGCTGGTGTTCACCAGCACCGCAGTCTTCTTCATCTGCCTCAGGAATGCTTCGTCGACGATGTGGTGCGTCGAGACGCCGCCTGGAGCAAGCACGAACACGACGTCGCTCTCCCGCGCAAGCTCGGCGAGGTCCACGCGCCGGACCTCCTTCACGCCGTACTTTGCAGCCACTTGGGCGTCGGCTTTCGCGTCAGGCGGTGTGGAGGGGTTTGCAGTGTAAAGGCAGCGAGCGAAGCCAAATGGCACAAGGCGAGCCAGGGTTGCCTGCGCAATGCGTCCAAAGCCGATAAATCCGGCGGTAGGTTTCGGGTTAACGGGGTTCGCGCTGAGCTGTGGGCCGCAGAATCCGAAAGGTGACCAGACGAAGTTGGGCCACTGGGTTGCGGGAAACGTATGGGATTTAGAGTGAACCTTCCCTTGACCTAGTCAATAACGCTTACCTGTCCTGTTTGGACCACCTCGGTAGTTTCCTTGACGTTTCGCCCAGCCATCAGGGCGAGCATGATCGACAGATCGGCCACTACGATATTGTCAAGCATGAACACGGGCGAGTCGCTGTAACCGTACCAGCCTCGGTTAGAACGTCCGGAGTGTATCCCAGCTTGATGTTGCGTGTCCTAAGCTCGGGGATTTGTACGTGCTCTGTGTTTCATCAAAAGTCTAAGTGTCTCTGCTGATATCTAAGAAGAACAGTTGCATACCATATCCAACGGACATTGTCGATACGACTTGTAAGCTAGGTCCTGCGGTGTCCAAAAGCTCCGCGTCGACCTGCATGCCATCAAGTAGTACTGTCAGCCTGAGCATAGTCCAGAGGATTTACGACTCGATTTGCGGAGACTCCTTACCTTGTCAGATAGCATCACAAGGACACCAGACGCGCCGGGTATGTTCTCAAGCAGCCACTTGCGGTCGCACGGCTTCGTGTCATACGGCCAAGCGATAACCTACTCCGTACGCCATCAGACTCAGTGACTTGCTGCTACACCGCTGTCGACGCACCCACCTCCAACTCGGGATGCTCCAACAGCAGCGGCATGACATTGGGCCCTAAATCGCGGGCAACAACGACCTTAGTACGTCGGGGAGTAGACATGGTGACTGGATCTTGAGAACGAAGGTGGGAGGTGATGGTTCCTAGACGCTCGATAGGGCGGATTGTTGCAGCAGCGACCATTCGAGTGGACCAAGTTCTCGTATCCGTGCAGACTGCTCAAAGGTGTTCAGCTCACACAAAAATACACCCGCTTGTGGTTGAGACGGGAGGCCGGACGGAGCGTCGCCTTGCACAGAGACTCACGCGGCGCCGATCGCAGGTGTTAGCGGTGCGCTGTATCCGCCCGGGCCGGAAATCTAGCATTGGAAGCCCATACCGCGTCCGGTTCAGGACACAACATAATTAGTATAATATAATTAGTATGACCTCGTACTTCCTGTGGCTTTTCTGTCCGCGTCGAGGTATGTTGGTCGTAACGATGTGGGTTTTTCGAACCTGGTCATCCTAAAACAAGTCATGTACACGGGCGCTTATTGTAGTTTGCTCTTGTCCACATACCATGACGACACATTCCAGTACGAGCCTCAATTCCTACACAGCGTGGTTGTTTGTTTCTAGCATTCGGGAGCGATGCATCTCCTAAGAGACCGGCACTCACTCGAGACCTAGGGTCGGTTGATGTGTCGGTGTATGCAGCGACTCGTACCATTGGCTCGTCCGCGTCGGGGACGCCCGTTCTGGAACCACTGGCGCGCACTTTGTCTCAGGCGACCCCGACAATCGCGTTTAGTAGCGAGTCGGGTTTCTAGGGGGCTATTTGTAGGTAGATGTGCTGTTCTGCGGTCTCGCACATCTGACAAGCCATCCGTTTCGTGAATAACGTACGATACGGACACGACACGATATACCTACGTTTTTATCATGAACCCTCGCGAACTTCTTCGTTCATGCGCCGAATAGATGATGATTACATGCTACGTCGCCTCGCATACTTATAACACTCAACGTTTAACGTTTGACCGGGGGTTAACTACCAGCTGATACACTTGTGAATCACGGCCTTACCGGCCCCCCTCTAGACTTTTGACGGCTCGAGCGACATATTCCGCCTCTAATTTTTTCCGTAAAAGTCAGACAGTGGAAATTGCACATTGGACAACTGATGGGCTTGCGAGGTTCCAGAATAAATGGCAGTCGACGCAAGTCAACGTGTTGTTTTATGCAAGTGGAAACACCAAAAACATTGTCTCCCCTAGGCAGACGATGTGTGATCTTGTCGAGGAGGGGAGGACGATCACACTAACGTCTGCTTTCAAACGCGCCCTCAACACTGGAGGGTCCCACTTCTTCGATGCCGAGTGATCCGACGCTCCTAATTGGGACTCTTCCATATTGAGAAGGCACGTGTTTCCCATATATGGACGTTTCCAAACGGGGAAATATGGGCGTCGACGACTCGTCGGTTTGCTCCCTACCGCACTCTTGTGCTACGTTCGGTTTTGTTGCGATAAAATAGCATCTGGAACGCGGTAAACCGTGTACTACACTGTTTGTGTATTGAAGGACTCAGTTTTGTCATTTTTGACGGCGTTTTCGTCGTGTAGATCGCTGTAGAAGCATCTTTCAGCCGACTTGCTAAACATCCATCGCTGTTCAGACCGCAAAACAACGGAGCAACGTACTGACCAATTTCACGCACATATACTTGACATGCATATATGTAGGTATTGTCTAGAGAGTTCTATGCTTGTAGGGTCATGCACTGGAATGACCCCCTGCTGCTGAGGCAGATTTCAGAGTTGCTCCGTTAGCTTGAGCTTCGCGCCGTCGGTGCGTTCGTGTTGGCGTACCGCGTGGGTTGCGTGGCCGCGCACTGATATATTCTCTCATACACATGCACTCAGTGCCCCGATGTTGTCTATAGCGGCCTACATGGCGCATTTACCATGAATAATACATGAACCAGAGATTGGTGCGAGCCTTGGAGATTCCCATAACACGAGAAGAGCCTAGTAAGCTCCTGCGCAATGCGCTGCACTAATTTATCACTAATGTCTGTCTTCATCGTAGGACGAACGTAGCAGTAGGGCTAGTTTTTGACGAAAGACCGGACGCGTCTCGCGCGCGACGCGTCAAGTGTGCCTGTGTATAGATCTTGACGCGTCGTCGGAGATCAATTTCTTGCTGACAAATTATGATGTTGGACCCTCCGGTTCTGCCCCTCTAACGCAAGCAGACTACCAAAAACAATGCGTTTGCGAGCAAAGATACATGCATTAAGGGGGAATCGAACCCCCGGCGGGTCGATGGCAACGACCCAGGTTACCACTACCCCATTAATGCCTTGAAAAAAATACATGTTGTTGTTATATTGACATTCTCCGTTGGGTGCTGCCGGCGAAAGTGACGTCTGCGGAGAAAGCTTGGGAGAGGAGGGTCGCCATGTCTGTCTCGCCTCCCATCCGCCGTTTCTCGTCGACGAGTTCTAGCAGCCGCGAAGACCTCATATATCAATATGAAGCGGAGGAGGAGCGCATCATCAACGTTCTCTCTAGGAAACTGGAGCAGGTGCGCCCTAAGAGCACCTAACACTGCACACTCAGCTAATCGACGCCACCGTACGCTCCGTTAGCTGCGTGAAGAGAAAATCGAGCTGGAGAATGTCCTTGAGCAAGAGTCCGAATCTCATGTGAATAAGCTTTCGAGGGAAATCTCAGCACTTCGCCTTGCCCAGCAGCAGCAACAACAGCAACAGCAACAGCACGCAGGACCCTCACATACCAACGGCAACGCATCCCCATATGACTCAAGGTCCACCGGGCTACAACTTGGATACTTGCTGAATGGGAGTGGACCAGCGCCGGCTTCCGATACCATCCTCGATGCACTCAGGCGAGAGAATGAGGCGCTAAGGAATCGCTTGGTCGAGACGGAGCAGGATTTTGTCAGGATCTCCCGGCTAAACGAGGTGTACAGGGAGGAGCTCATTCAACATCGGCGGCGAGTGAGTACAATATTCCAGTGTGCTGCATGTATCTGATATTATGCCAGCTTGGGCTTCCGGTGGATAACCTCATCGGGCTGCACCAGTCGGATCCATACTCCCAGCCTACCCACCGGCGGTCACATTCCTCTACCTCTGGGTCGCCATCCAGCTCAATCCATATTCCGTCTGCTCCCTCCAATCGACAGGCCTCAGCGGTTCCAATACCCCGGCCGTCGTCCCAAATCCGGCGCCCTTCAAATATAATCTCCTCAGAGTCCACCACACCCCTTTCGCATTCGCCGTCGTCGACAAGCACGTCCCCCTTTCCTTTCTCACCCGCCAGCAACTCCCCCTTCCCAGCGAGCTATGCTAGCGCCGCAACCAACATGACAACCCCTCCGTCCGCTGCAGTGAGCCCGCCCGCGTTCACGATCGGTGCCCCGCGCACACTGTCATATCCCCTCGTCCCGCCCCCCTCACTCTCCTCCTCCTTCGGCTCCCCCGCTACATCACTACACCAGGCAATCGCCATCCCGCGGGACCACGACGGCACCCCCTCCCCGGTCGAATCATTGAACAGCCGCCGGAGCTCGTTCCACAGGCGCGGGAGCTTCGAGCGGCGCGTCGTCGAGAACGGGAGCCTGCGCGGCAGGAATGGGAGCCAGACACATAGCCGCCGGGCGAGCGTCGAGCGCGGGGCTCGGATTGCGGAGACGGGCGTGCTGGTCCCGCGCCCCCGTTCAGGAAGCATTAGCCTCCCAGAAGCAGTTGAGGATGACGATCCGCCCCCCGCAGTCGACGCTTTCGACAGGCCGGACGAAGATCGAGAGAAAAGCACGCCCCAGCCGCCGTCATAGTCGCCATGCGACCCTGCCTAGCTATGCCGCCCCTGCGAGGCGGACAGGACCCGAATGGTCGCCAGATGTCGTTGTACGATAACGGCGTGATGAGACGCTGTGTCCGGACTTGTGTACGATATCAGCTAGCGTACAAGCTGCCGCCGTTTTATCCGTCGTAATGTCTTCGTTCTTGACCGTGTATATGCAATTGATCGTTCCTCAGCGCGACAGTCACACAGCCGTTTTGACTTGACGGAGACACGAGGCTATTCGCCGCCGTCGACAGCAGTTGCCACCGTCAAACAGCGGGCTCCGGTCAACAGACAAGACGCCTGTCTTGTACGCGGGCCCTGCCACGACTGACGGCTTGTTGGACTGATCACTCATTTCCCACCGCCTGGCGTCGCTGATCACACCACGACACGGCCGCGGAGGGTGCGATGCCCACCCCGCATGAACTCAATCAAACTATCAAGTTGCGAGTGCTGAATCATTTATGGTGCGTCCCTGCGTTTGATACCGGATCCATCCATGCCTAACGCGAGCGCGGTACGGTCAACAGATTGCACGACCGCTCTTCTCTGCTGTTCCGCACCCCTTGCGAGGAAGCCGGTCGAAGAGGGCGAGCATGCTTCCTGGGGCGGTGCCAGATTCCAGGGATCCAAGCAAGTGCGCCAGTGGGATTCCATTTATCTGGATATCCGGATATCTGTGCTCTATAGGACCCGTCTACACTGCCAGCCTCAATCTCAATGCATCCCTGTACACACGTCCCCACAATCCGAGGATGGCGACATCCGTCTCGCAGGGTCTCGTCTCTCGGAAGCACACCGCCCAAGTTCCAAACGATGCCAACTCCGCACAGCGTCTCTTCAGAGCTTCGTCGCGATCGTATCACCCTCATCAGCCGCAGAGACCACTGGCCCTGGCGCTGCACGTCTGTTTGTATTGACTCGTCCTGCACCGCACTGCTGATGTCCCCCAGGCTTCAGCGCTCAGCGCGTCCCTCAAACCCTGTCTATTCGCATCTGCATCCGCCTAGACGCACGTGCACGTCACTCGTAAGGCAGACGAGAAGGTTTGGGTGCATCGAGCTTCGGTACCCCGCTCGGCCGGACATATCGCCCAACCTCCAGTGTTCGTCGGACCCCGCTCGGCCTTCGCCCCTCGCGCATTCCTGATCCCTGATTCCCCGCGGGAGGTGCGGCGTGCCCTTGAAGCTTGCTTGAACAAGTCTGCCATTGGGCACGCTCCCATTGGCCGTCCCGCGCGCCAGGAGCCTTTCCATGGGCCTGGAAGATTGCAGCAGCCCTTCGCCCGGCGCCGCACACCGCCCCTCTCGACGCCCCCGGCTAATGCGTTGACTTCGCGGCCAGCGCGGGCTGCTCCAAGGTACATACCGCGCTCCATGTTCCGCACGAACACCCTGCCCCAGGCGGAGGGCGCCTGCGCGCTGCGCACGCGGGCTTCTGCTCTCAAGGGTCCGCAGCGCTGCGTCGAGGTGGGAAGCCGGGCAGGGCGCGCGGGAACGCTTGGCGGCGATCGCTCCACCCGAATAGAATGCGCGTCGCTTGCAGTCCCACCGGGGAGCGTCGTCGAGGGCCGGTGCCACTGCGGACGAGAGCGCAGAAGGTGCGAAGGAAATGGCGGCCCATCACGCGGACCGCGTCTTCCTGTGAAGGTCCTGGTCCGCCGCACCGAGATGAAGGAGACGCCGCGGCGTGGCTACTGCACACAGGCCGTCTGAGTATGCCTGCTACCACGCTCGCGCCACCGTCTGGCAGAGAACGGCCGGGGCGACGGGAGGCTCGTGCGTGCCCGTGCATTGTACCGGGGGACGGTATGTTCCCCGCGTACGTAGCATTGGCAACTTCACCGTTCTTCCGCCGATACCGTACCCGACGTTGTACGTCCAGCGCTAACTTTGCAACGTCTAGGCGCATCGACCTCTGCGCGCCTGCGCGCGTACAGGTGCCGACGCCAGAACCACCGACCGGAGTCCGAAGCAGAACGCTGTGGGTGCGCGCCCGCGAAGGGCGTGTCGCGTGAGACGCGCGGGCGCGTACGAAGCGGGTCACTTGCACGTCTTTGTCAGGCCGGCCGGGCTGCGCGATACTGGGATCCTCGGGGCTCGTGCGGCCTCGAGGCCCCTCTGGCTATCGATAGCTCTCGGGTGCGGCGCGCGAGCGTAAAGGAAGTGTGGAGGAACGAACGCGCATCAGGCGTCCGGCGCGGGTCGAGGCGTGCGGGACGCGGTCATCTGAGGACGCGCGCAGGAGGGAGTGCAGGCTCGCGTGCGCAGCGTTGCATGCCGCGGCAGCCGGGCGAGGCCGCATGACGCAGATTGGGTGCGGCGAGACCATGTACGGCCGAGGGGTCGTCGCGGTGGGAGCGCGGACGCGATAAGCCCTCCGCGCGAGTGAATGGGTGTGCAGCGACGGCAACAGCGGGCGGTGGACGGTGCAACTCCGAGCTCGCGCGACGGGTCGCAGGCAGACGGGATCTGCGTGGACGGAGAGACGCTGGTGCGCGCAGCGTGTCATGTTGACAGCAGTCCGTGCCCGCCCGATCGGAACGATGCGACCACCTCCTCCCGGCGGTGGCCAGTATGATTTCAGATTTGCGCCGTCGACGGGAGGCGCTTGGAACAGGGTCCTTGACAGCGCCGGCCGATACGCTACGGCACTCGCGGTCCAAGTGCGTAGGTTCCCGAGCCGCACTCGCCCGTTCCGGCCTCTGCGGAGGCTGGTGCGGCCTTATCAGCTGCTCGCGCGAGCTTCCGTTGGACCTGAGGTGGGTGAGGGGCACGCGAGGGGGGCATCAGCAGCATCGATGCGAGGCCGATGCAACGAGTCGCGGGCGAGACGCAGGGAGCGGTGCAGGAGACGCGCAAGGAGCGTCCGAGGGAGAGGGCGGCTGCGGAGGGGACAGCGTTCTCGGCGGGATCTGAGATGGGAGGAATTCGCGAATGACGGGTGGGATGATGATGGGGCGAAGCGCTGCAGGCTATTCGAGGAGGGCGAAGCGGATGTTGTTCGTTCTCGCTCTGCCTCCACCAGAACCTTCCTCTTTCCGCGTGGCCGATGCGTGCGATGTCGCCTTCTATAAAACCCCGCCTGCTTCCGCCGCCCTCCCCTCCTTTCCAGCCCGCCCTCAGTCCTCCCGCCGCAGATCACCCCTCTCCGCACACTCCCGCCCGCTGAGCATCGCGCGCCCCTGTACTCGGAAACCACGCACCGCATCAAATGGCCGCCGTAGCCTCCTGCTCCTCATTACCTTTGTACTCCATGTCGTCCTCCGCCGGCTCCTCGAGCTCGTACTCCCGGGACTCCTCTGCGAGCCCACCACCGCCACCACAGCGGCCCACATTCGCGTTCGCGCAAATAAAGGGTGACATCTGTCTCGTCCAAGGTGAGCCCCCCGCCTACCCGCGCCACCGCAAACAAAGGCTCACCCACGCGCAGTACCCGACGCTCCCGCCCCCGGCGCAATGTCCTCCGCGCTCATGGCCGCGGACGTCGCCGTCTTCCGGCACGAGTTCATCACCCAGTTCCGCTACTCGCACAGCGCAAGCGTGCACCCCGCGGACATGCACATCCTCGAGCCGATCGCGGACCACTGCACACTGTATGAGGAGGACAAGGGCACGGTCTTCCTCGCGCGCGACGTCATGGCGCGCCTCACGAAGCTCACCATGGCCGCGCGCCGCCCCGCGTACCAAACGCATCGCCCGCGCCATTCGTTGTCCCCACCGCGCACGCGCATGCGCGCGCGCTCATAGCCAGTCCGGAGGGGAGAGGGTTTCTTCCGTCGATGTCGGTCGGGACGGGGTTCCGGGTTCCTGCCACTGTATTGTTAGCCGTGTATGATAGTCTGACTCGTCCACTTACTATACCGCACATGCTCTGTAATTTATCGTGCCCGCTGCCACGGCATCGTTCGACACTCATCGCCCCGCCCAAGCACGCCTGCAGCTTGCACGTCGAATGTCGAGCGCGGAACGTGCGCGGGCACCGTCTGCGTTCTTGGTAAGCCGCACGATCTTCGCTTGGCGACACCGCTTTCCTCGCGGACTCCGTACTGGCATCGAGACTCGAGTGCTCCGAGTGCTTAATTCCCCGCATTGAGTCGCCGTGATCGGCCACGCCGCATGCAGGCTGCAGCGTGCGTGGGCTTGGGCTAACCTCGCGCTGTCGACGTCGTTCATTTTAGCGCGGCCGTTGCTAGTTTAGCAGGCTTTAGCACAACGCGAGCCAAAATCGCGTGCGCGGCGCGCGATCAACATGCCTATCCATGCACGCGCATGCTCCGAAGCTGCTCGAGCCTCGAATTCGAAGCTGCTGCGCGGGTCAAGGATCTCGCGACACTGCGACGGCCGACGCAGGCTCGCGATCGGGCATTCGGACCGTCCCGAGTCACCGACGCGCGCGCAATCGGGGTGTGTTCTGAGATGATCGCCGCAGTACGCACCAAGACTGTTCCCCAGCGATTGCGGTAAGACAGGGGATTGCGGGACTGGGCTAGGGGTGTGTGCGCCGGGCGGTGTCTTACGACTCAATGCACGAGCTTACAAATGGGTGTAGAGGGGTGGAGGGTTCGTCAGCGTCATGCTTATAGGCACGCCAACATTGTTTGACGATGTTCTACTTGCCAGCGGTAGAGTTTGAAGGCGATCTAGGGTGCGAATCGTCTGCGCAGGACCTTTGAAATCATTCATCGTCTGCACAGTCGGGCACGTGGAAACTTATAATATCGTTCAGGTCTCGTGCGCATACCATGTCGTTACCAAGCTCGCACAGACAATCTTAACCACGAATAGGCTCTTGAGCTTGACATGAGTCACCGTACGCAGACGTTCAGGTTGTCCACTGCGAAACTAAGAATCAGCACGCCACGTGCCCGCAAACAAATCAGTCACCACTCACAGCCCATGCTCTCCGTCGGGATCTCGAGCTCCTGACCCAGCGGAAAGAACACCTGTGTGGTCAAAATGGTGCACGCGCTGAGCGCGACAAACTGGCTCCCAAGCTTGTCCGCGGTGACCGAGTATCCCGCCCTGTCTCTGTTGCGGTTGAAGGAGATCGCGAGGGTGACGTGGTCCCCCGCGCCGCCCGCGAGCGTGCAGTCGAGGTGTACGCGCATGTCCTCCTTTGCACCCAGCTTCACTGAGTCCGGCCGCATGCTATACACAAGTGACCAGATTGTCCGCTAGAAGAAAGGATAGCGGACGAACCGGGAGGTCGATGATATCGAACACGTCGAATGCGCCAAGATCTAACGAGCCGCTCTCGTCAGCAAGAGTAAACGTGCCCTTTGGCGACGTCGCCAGATCGACTTGGTGAATAAGCAACCCAACGACGAGGCCCTCCGCCATGGCGAGCCGCGGCGGTGTGTACTGCTGCGTAAAGTTCGCAGGAAAAGAGTGACATGCGTCCCCGGGGCACGACGTGAACCCGAACCCGTCCCAGGTGAAGCCGACGAACGTGCCAGGGATCGGCTCGACGGTGTTTGGGTCCTTCTGCACGATTGACGCATCGTCGAACTGGTTTCAAGAGTGGAATTAACACCGGATAGGGTAGATAGGCGAAGAGCGACTGACGTTGATGAGTTGCTTTTTGCAGGGTCCACTGCGGCGTACAAAAGCCCCAGGGCGCGCGTAAGTAGCCCCAGCGAGAGCAACAGCTGTGAAGACTGCTAATCTCATAGTCGAGATATTAACGAGAGTAAGGTCGAAACACGAGGGCAGCAAAAAGATGGAGTCGATCTACGATGAGAAGCTGAAAGGGCTGCACAGCAGGTGAAGAAAGAGAATGGTTGTGCCCTCGCTCCCTTCCACTCATTATATGCGCCTATTTGACGTGGTAGAACATCTGCTGTGGGCCAAGGAGCTAGTACGAATCGGTTGGAGTGTGGGACTCGCCTACGTCAACGCGGACGCCCACCTGAGGATGGCGACTGACCGCAGGGAATATGTATATTGCACCCCGCCTCTGCACTGATGCGCCCTTTGCCCTGTGATTCATAGATGAGCTTGTGATCATGAAACAGTTGCAGGCACCGCAAGCAGGAAGGTCGTGAACAATTCGATTACGAGACGACCTGCCAATATGTAGTCAATCCATTTTTTCGATGCCTGAGCGAAGGCCTAGCTCGCGAAGGCTGCCCCAAAGGCATAAAGCAGATGGCTTGTCAGATGAGCGAGACCGCAGAACAGCACATCTACCTACAAATAGCCCCCTAGAAACCCGACTCTCTACTAAACGCGATAGTCGGGGGTCGCCTCAGACAAAGTGGGCGCCAATTGTTTTAGAACGAGCGTCCCCGACGTGGACGCGCCCGACCTGGAATGCATGTTCGACCGTTCCAAGTGGACAATGCCCAGATAAGGAGGGAAAGCCGCGACGGACAATAGCGCGGCATCGTTGAGGGGCGGCGTCCCTGACGTGCGTGTGGTCGCCGCCGGTCACCTGGGGGGTGCGCCCGACACGAGGCGGGCGCCGCGCGCCGCCGTTTGCCCTATCAGGAAAGCGCGGGAGCAGCGGCACAGCCCCGCCGTGACTCGGCCGCGTCGGGGCCGCCACAAAAGGAGATACTGCCCGAGGCGACGCTCCCTCTCTCTCCTCCCTCCCACCACCACCGCTGCAGCCTGCATGGTCGCCGCCGTCGCCTGCAGCACCCACGTAGTGTACAACCCCATGACAATGTCATTCCCTTACCAGCAGTTTGTGGACTACTCGAACCCCAACACACCGCGTGTGTACAGTACCTCCTGGGAGCTCCCTGCAGAGCAAGATGCGATGCAGATGCCCCAGCAGCAAGAACAGCAGACGATGCAGCAACACCAGCAGCAACATCAACACCAGCAACATCAAGAACGTGTGTCCCCCAGCCAGCTTCACCTGCAGCAGCTCCCGCCCCCGCCACCTCTGCCCGTCACCACACAAGACACCCAGCAACCTCAAGCGCCGCCTCAGCCTCAACAGCGACAGCAACAACGCCAACAGCAAGGACAGTACACACCTCACCAGCCCACGATCGCCCTGCAAGCCACCAGCGCGCAGCCGCAGTACCGGTTTGACATCACCACTGAGGAGCACTTCATACAGCAGGCGCAGGGCGACGCCCGCCCTGGCTCCTCCTCGTCGCGGCGCGGTGGTGCTAGCAAGCCCCCGCTGCACGTTGACACCTCGCGCGCGTCCTCCGCCGCGAGCCCCGGCGCGCTCTCGTCCGCCGGGGCAGGGGCTGGTCCCCTCCGTGCGCCGCGCGGCACCCACGCACAGTCCGCACACCCGTACCGCCGCCCACAGTCGCGGGCGGCGTCGGGCTCGAGCACCGCTGGCGGCGCTGCGTCTGCTCCTGCTCCTGTGAGATCTCGCCGTGTTAGTGAGTTGCAGACTGCAGAGACGAGTGCGGGCGGCGCCCCTCGGGGCGTCGTGCCTGCTGTTGGGACAGCGATGGCTGTAGGTTGTCCGGCGGGAGATACGTGGCGCCAGGATTTGCTTGGGCTGCAGGATATCGTGGGTGCGAGGTGCGTCTTCGTCAGTGGTGGTCGTGTCGACGTGTTTCTTGATCTCTGCGCGTAGTCATGACCCCGAGGCGACGCCGACGGCCACCCCTCGTCCGCAACAGCATCTCCTACCCGCAGAGCCCGTGCGCCGCTATAGCATCCGCGCCGACATCCACTACAATGCAGATGAGAACCTCATCATCGCCATGTTCGAGCTCCCCGGCGTGAAGCGGAGCGACCTACGTGTCACCATGGGTGTGTGCCCGTTCAGCCGTGTGCGCCAGATAAACATCGTCGGCATCTCTCGACCCCAACTACCTTCGCAAGGACACGGCGTGCGTGAGCGCAAGTTTGGCCAGTTCATGAGGACGCTGCCCGTCCCTCCAGAGACGAAGGTACGCACGCACCTGGTCTCGCAGTCCCGTCCGGCCCCACTGATCTGTCGACGTCAGCCTGAAGACGTTACTATCACTCTTGAGGACGGTATCCTCACCTTGAAGATACCCGGCGGAGCTCCAGCACAGGTCGAGGAGCCGCAACAGATCCCCATTTCCTGAACATATCGACTTTGAACGCGCGCGACCCGTCCCCGATCGTCTGGCTCAGATATGTATCAGTCCATCCCCGGCTTCGTCGTTCACCCCCGCTCTTCCGCTGTTTGCTTCGTCAGTTCCAGTCGCCGCACAAATCGCTCGTCCCCGTACCTCGCACCTTGCTCTAAAATGTATCATATCGCACATTCGCGCTGCCAGTCGTACGGACATTCCCTAATCGCTCCCGGCTTCTCCATGGCCAGTCTCCCCGTGTCTTAGCCTTTCCGAACCTTACCCGTAGCATTCGATTATACCAACTCCCCTCATACCGCACTCGCACGCGTCTGGGATTGTATCTTGTTATTTATATAGTACATTAGACAGGGCTTCATCGTCACATATCGAACGCTTCTTCGTTTTGGAACGCACAGAGGGCTGGAAGACGAGGAGTCCGCTAAAGCACGACGGTTGGGATCAAAGGATGACAATCGCGAGTATCACGACGGAATGTTGAAAGGAACTCGAACCCCAAGAACTGATTCGACGCTTGGCCATTCATCTCAGTGATCCAAGTCAATCGTAACGCATCGTCTTGAACATCAACGCAAACAAGAAAATGTCAGAAATTCCACAGTGGCCTCAACAAGGCTGGACCGTGTACAACAGCCATCCGTTTAGGCGGTGATCGTCCAGTAAAAGCATGTCACCAATGACCATCCATTCGCAGCAAACTACTCGCCAAAACCCTGGTTGCCCATCCGAATCGTAATCGTCTTCGAACCCAAGGGCAGCGACGCGTCGGTGGCCACGTACTCGGACGTGGCAACCAAATGCGCGCTGTCCCCCCTACGAGATCTCTGAAGGGATAGCTTTAACTTCTCATACAGTCCTTGAACTGACCATCCGCGGCCCTCCGCACTCTCCATGGCTGGATCAATCATGCTCCCAGTCCAGACAGTTTGTTGTGCTCCACTGCACAGACCACACATTATGAACGCTCACCTAATAGATATGTATCTGGTCTGGCTGCTTGGAGCAGTGTAATACATGGCGTACTACCCGTTGTTGACTAGAGGTATGTCAAGCCACAGAGCTACACGGAGACAAAGCTGGGCATATGGTTGTAAGCAGTAGCAAGTTGAAGACGACGGCATCGGACGGACTCGGCGAAATGGCCAGTTCACTCTGGGGCCCTAAGGCTCCAACCCATTAGTGTAATTACTGATTATAATCGATTATAATCGTATACTGGTTACGATTACTTTACCTCCCCCAGGGTATAGCCATTAATCGATTAGTAGTCAGTAGTTAATGAGATACGGGCGTCTGTCCGGATTCGGTGATTCCCCGAAAAGGTAGTCGTGCTCGCGCGTCCATCTGTCCGTCTTGGGTGAGACTCGCGATGATGGTCTCAGTCCAATCGCGAGTCCTTGCGAACTCGCTATACACGGCCGGGGGGTCCTTTCCGGGGAAACTGCAGGAAACCGGCCACAGGACTCCCACGTCTAACCAGACTTAAGGCTTCCCGGAGGACAAGTCACAAGCGAGATCAAGCACCTCCGTGTGAACGGCCGTCTATCACAAACTCTGAATACCTTCAGGCCGGGCGCTATCAGTGCTCGGCCCGATGGACTTGAAACAACCGGCCACGTCGGCCATCTTCGGCCAGCGTGGTGCCGGTTTTGCCGTTTTCTCATGACGAAATGTTTTTCCCATGGCTGATTTTCAGGATATAAACCCCCCAGTTGGGGCGATGGACTTCGTCTTTTTCCTCCCTCCTCTCTCTGGGGCACTCGTGCGCCGGCGACGTCCTGGTTGCTTCGATGTCTGAGCTTGAAGAGCCCCTTCGCGCGTGTGCGCATGCAACTAGGGTCAGTTCGAACTTCTTTTCTCATCTTCTACTACTTAGCTAACAACTTCCTTTGCAGAACCAGATGCACAGTGGCGAGTGCCTCCGTGTCAATTCAGAGAGAGCTGAAAGGTAAGTTTGGTATCGCCAACGCTAGCCACTCAGGACTATCAGACGTGTTTCAAGTGTGTAGTAGTTTACATGTGTACCAGAAGCGTAGCCCCATAAGCCCAATATATTTTGTGTATGCCCTAGTAGAATGGTCAGTGCAGGGCGTGTCCGTACAGAATAATGAGCAAGCAGCTCGCGAGGGTTTCCGGACGTCCGCACCGCGCGGGCGCTCATCACGGCCTGCGATTTCCCACAGGCTGCACCTACAGGTAGCCCGCGGGCCATCACGAACTCGGATTTCCCTAAGTCTCACTTTTTGAGGAATCCAATAGGCGTCCTTAGGGATCTCACGGAGACCGTTTGCCTGCGGGTAACCCGCAGAGCGCCCCGCGCCCGTGTACAGCGCTGAAACCATCCGTTCTCGCCTCCACCACTGTACTATGAGTTCTTGCCCAATCGGCGGTCCGCCCTGAAAGTGGCACTCGCTGCCGCTGAGTTGGACATGGACGGCCGCCCCCTGCCGCGGCGCGATGCGCCTGCAGCATGCCCCTGGCGACACTAGGCAAAGGCGCGACACTCGGGCACTGCGCCCTTCAGCATACCACCATCACCACCACCATGACAAGCCGAGAGGGCGTCGAGCAACTCGTCCAGGAGCTTTTCTCACTAGCTCCTCGCCTTCCGGCCTCAATCCCTGAAGGGAGTCGCACCGACAAGCTGTACCTGACAATCTCTACCGTCTCTGGGGGCGACGCCTGGGAGACCTTCAATCGCCGGTCTCGGAGTCTGGGCGCTTGACTGATCTTGTTGGTGCGCACGCGACGTGAGCATTAGGCGCCGAAGAAGTAGAGAAGGATCGGTCGGACTCACACATATCCCAAACTTCTCTCTTCTCCACTCACTCTCTTCCGATTTTACCTTGGGATCCTCATCCGCGACGTCAACTCTGCTTCTGATACACGCATCACGACCTACACTGCGTAGAAGTTACCGTTTCCGCGTGAGGCAAATACAGGCTGATCTGGACGATATTTTTCAGCGTTTTCGAGGCCAAGAAAGGATTGTATAACAAGCAGGAAAGGCTTGGAGCGCTCCCTGTTTGTCATGGGAAAAGGCATCATAGCCTTTTCACAGTCGATAAACGCTCCTTTTTGCATGAGTTTGACAATTGAGAAAATTGTGGAAAAAAGGCTTCGCTTATTCAGCCTTTCTCAACAGATTCCAAAAACTGGAAACGGTGTTTTCTATGCAGTGCTACTACTGCTTCATTCAGGAGACACCCACGTGCCCATAGAGCAGATGATGGGCACCTCCTGACCATGGCAGTCCTCGAATAGGCTTGGACGAATGGATTTTGAGGACCGCGTATCTCCCCGGGTTCGATTATGCTCGTCTGCGGCAGGCGATGCAACAGCCCCGAAGTCCGGCCTGTTCGTCATTCTCACTGTGTCGCGCGAAACCTGGGAGGCAACCCACGCCTTATCATGGCAGGAGCCAACAGTTTCGACTACGAGTGCGCCAGAATGGGAGTTTGATCGCTATGCAGCGCAGTACGTGCTACGACGGGGAGGGCGTACGCGTACACCTGACCGTGGGGACCCGGGGTCAAGAAGAGGGAATGGTCAGTACGGCATGCAAGGGGGATGACCGCAACGTCTGTTTGGCGACCCGATGGGTGCTTCGAGCGGCATCGCACCGTGTGCGCCAATGGCAGGGGCAACACACCCTGAACGGTTAAGACACGACACATGGGAAGAACCAATGACCGAACCCCTCTTCTTCCGCCCGCCACTATAAATCTTCTCACACGCGCCCTCCTCCTTCTCTTCACCCACAACTACCATGGCCCTCCTTGGCATCCTCTCGTCGCTCGACGGTCCTTCATGGGCTGCGCTGGTGTTTGCAGCGGTCGTCCTCGTCCACGTTGTACCCTACCTCCTTGACCCGCACGGGTTTCGGTCCTACCCCGGGCCATTCCTAGCCAAGCTCTCTGACTTCTGGTTGGGCAAGGTTGCCGCAGACGGTCACCGCTCTGAGCGAGTCCACGAGCTGCATGAAATATATGGCAAGTACCCCCTCTCAAGCTCCGCCCGACCCGGCGCGCCCGTGATCACCGCAAGCGCGTCTCTAAAAGCTGTGGCACCTGCCTGATGTCCACAGCACGCAGAGCCGGCCGTTCTGATGAACGCACTACGCCGCGCCGCGTCCGAATCTGACAAATTTGCCGTGTGCTGACCGTTCGCTCACAGGGACCTTTGTGCGCATAGCGCCCAACCACCTCTCCATAGCGGACCCGGACGCGCTTCAGATCGTGTACGGCCATGGGACGGGCACACTCAAGTCCGACTTCTACGACGCGTTCGTGTCCATCCAACGCGGACTTTTCAACACGCGCTCGCGCACGGATCACGCCCGCAAGCGCAAGATCGTCTCGCACATCTTCTCGCAGAAGAACGTGCTGGAGTTCGAGCCCCACGTCCGTGTGCACCTCATCCAGTTATTTAAGCAATGGGATCGCCTTTGTGCAGGTGGCGCACGCGGCGAGGCTGGGGACGAAGGCGAGGGCGGCTGGCGCGGCCGTGACGGACGCGTCTGGTACGACTGTCTGCCGTGGTACAATTATTTGGCATTCGACATCATCGGTACGCGCTATACGCTCAGACGCCCGGCTGACCGCACGCTCACATCCGGAACACAGGCGATCTCGCGTTCGGTGCGCCCTTCGGCATGCTGACCTCCTGCAAGGACTCTGCACCCGTCGCGGTCTCGCAGGACGACGCGATGGCGACGTACGGAAAGGACGCAGCCTACAAGGTGGAGCACTTCCCCGCCGTGCAGGTGCTGAACGACCGCGGCGAGTACTCGGCGTCCATGGGCGTCGTCCCGCCTCGTTGGCGCCCACTCGTGAAGCGCCTCCCGTGGTACAACAAGGGGAACCAGGCCGTGCAGCGGCTCGCGGGGATTGCGATTGCGGCCGTCGCGCGCCGACTGTCCGTGCCTGAGAGCGACCGACACGACCTGCTCGAGAAGCTGCAGGAGGGTCGGGACGACAATGGGGACCCCATGGGGCGCGCGGAGCTCACTGCGGAGGCGCTCACGCAGCTCATCGCCGGCTCGGACACCACGTCGAAGTAAGCACTCGTCCTTTCACTCGATGCACCCGCACTGACCTTTGCGCGCCCGCAGTTCGTCGTGCGCGATCACGTACTATCTCGCAAAGTACCAGCACGTGCAGGAGAAGCTGCAGAAGGAGCTCGACGACGCGCTTGGCGGGGAGGACGACTCGGTCGCGTCCTACGAGCAGGTAAAACGCCTCCCGTACCTCGACGCGGTGATCAACGAGGCGCTGCGCATCCACGCGACGTCGGGCATCGGCCTCCCACGCCTCGTACCTGCTGGGGGGCTCGAGGTCTGCGGGCGGTGGTTCCCCGAGGGCGCGGTGCTGTCTGTCCCAACATACACGATTCACCGCGACAAGGCTGTGTGGGGCGACGACGTCGAGGAGTTCCGCCCCGAGCGCTGGTTCGAGCAGGACAAGGTCGCGGTGCAGAAGACGTTCAACCCGTTCTCCTTTGGCCCCAGGTCAGCAGCCCCGTCGACTGCGTATGCGCTCGGATGTGACGACTGACCTGCTTGTTCTATTATTTTTTAGGAGTTGCGTCGGACGGAACCTCGCGAACCTGGAGCTGCTCGTCATCGTCGCGTCAATCTTCCGCCGCTACCACTTCGTGCTCGAGGACCCCAGCGCTCCGGTAAGTTTTGTCTCCATGCGCAGTGTCACTCCGTTGGTCTGACTTCGTTTGCGCCGCAGCTGGCGACAAACGAGGGCTTCTTGCGCAAGCCGCTCAAGTGCATCGTCGGTATGAAGCGCAGGAACGTATGAGAGGCCTTCCGGTACACGTATCGTGCGAGTGCGCCAACCTGACGATCCCCAGCCTTTCCCAGCTGGACGAACTTACGTCCATCTTTCTTCTCATTGTACCATATTGCAACAATGTATAGTTTGTTGGTTTCTTTACTATCTTGATTGTACAACGTGTTGTTCTATTTGCTACATTCTGTATCACCTTCCAGTCATAATTTCCGAGCGGCATAGCGGACAGCTCGACGAATGGCTCGTGTTGAACCACTGCGGACAGGGTAAGGCGTCAGGCACGCCTGTGAGAGCGGGTTGGGCGGGGGCGCACACACCTTATACAAGCACGCAGCGTGGAACCGGTTCTTGCACGTCTTGCACGGTTTACGCGGTAGACTCCCGTCCGTGGCGTTCACGACACTGCGGGGCGCGAGATGAGGGCGGCACGGCGGCAGGAGGAGGCAAGGTCAGCGGGCGTCCAGAACCCTCGAGAAGCAGGCTAAGAATGACGCACGAGTAGCAGATCGCGCACTCTGCGACGCCCTCGAAGTGCGACGTGACATTCTTGAGGAAGAAGCTCAGACCATCCACGATGCTTCCGCTCTAGAACCGCTCGCACGTCAGCACCTTGACGCACAAATGGATGATTGCAAATCGCGAAGCCGGAGCACGCACCCTGAAAGTCAAAATCTGCTGGACGCCGAGCTCCCACGCGCGCCAGCGGTCGTCCGTGACGCCGACGTGCTTCGCGTCCTTGACCTCGATCGTGTGCAGCGGCCAGTCGACGGGGAGCTTTACGGTGAGCTCGAGCTGCTGCTCGTCGACCGAGAAGCCGGCGGTGACCTCGTTGACGGCGCTCGCGACCTTGATTGTGACGTTCTCCCCTGAGAGCTCTGTCGCTACGTTGGGATCCTTGACGCGTGCGAGTTCCGTCCGGATGATGGCTGGTGAGAAGTGCTTTGACGTGTAAGAAGCGACTGCGGTGGAGAGCTGGCGGTCGCGACAATCGGTGAGCCAGGTGCGGATCAGAGAGGGTAGAAGGAGGAGGGTGCGGTAGTAGACGTGTGCAGCGAGGAGGCGGAGGCTGATGGTCGAATCGGAAGTGTAGTCTGGGAGCGCGGTGAATAGATATAAACATGCGAAGCTGGAGGAGGGCTTACAGTCTAAATAAAACTCGTCGATATCCCAGATGTCTAACTTGAAAGCCTTCGCAATACCACCGTATAGATCCAAGAGGCTGAACAATGTTGGTAGAAGTTTCGCAGCGACCAGATCCAGATCACGAATTTGATCTATGTAACCCGACTTGACTTTGAGAGACTGAACCAACTGTGAGCAACACCAAACCCCATGCAATGTGCCGCACGCACCGCGTCTGTGAACAGATCGAGAGCGACCATCCAGGCAAGCAGATAGCCGGACCATTCCTGTTGAAATGTTAGCACTCATAGGACGGAAAGGATGTAAAGGATGTAAACTGTAGCGTACCTCATTGTGATCCTCTGCATCTTCGAGGTTGAGACTGCGCTGTAGAATGTCTAGAAGCTCCATTGGGAGTTCTGCTGTCATCGCGCCTTCTGTATCAACTGCAGCTTCAATGACCAGCGTCTCTGTGTACTTCTTCGCCGCCTCGTGCAGCAGCTGGTATGCCATGCGCTGGACGCTGCTCGAGCCATCTGTTACCAGATGGCACATCTGTGACAAGTTGAGATACCGTGATTCACCGACTGTACCATGAACTTACCTTCGGCAACGTTTCGCGAGTAAGGAGTGATGACGGCAAGTCCTGCACGATTTGCAGAGCGAGCTCTCTGCATACGGAGAGCGGGGTAGACACCGCCTCAATCTCTGTCGTGTCATATCAGCACTAAAGCGCGTAGTGGCTCAGGAAACAACACGCACCGAGCTTCGTTGACACCAAGTCTCTGATCAAGGTGAGGTTCGCCGCCCGTCTCTCTTCCCAAATGGCCCTCAGCGCCTTGTTGGTAGACACCAAGTCCTCGATGATGATGAAGAGCCGGAGCGTTCTGCTGAGTGTGACCAGCGTAGACGGGTCATCCAATGAAGCATCCTGAAAAGACACATAAGGCCCACATCTAGTCACATAACACTCTAATCACTCACCTCGAGGTTGTTCTCCACCACATCGAAGATCAAATCCCAGTGAGCCCCAGGCACGCCCTGCAAAATCGGCGCCAGGTGCGCGAAGAGGAGTGTCATCTCGCTCTGCACCTCCTCGTCGAGGTCCTCGTCGGACGTGATCCACTGCTGACACGCCTTGATGAGGTTCACTGCGCGCAGCTGCGGCAGGAAGATCACGTCCGACTCGGGGTCAGGCGCCGCCGCGGCGAGGTTCCGCAGGAGCCAGAGGCCCTCGCTGTTCGCCTTGGATGCGGGGATGCCTAGCGCACCCGCTGCGCGCTCGTTGCGATACCGGTCGAGGCGCGGCGGCTCCGGTGCATATCGTGTCACGGAGAAGACGATGGCCAGGGCCGTGTGGGGGGCTGCCGCACGAGGTGAGCAAAGGTGGTGCGCATGAGACGATAGATATATCTACCTAGCTTCTCCGTCTGCCGAACGGCGCCCATCCATAGCTCGGCGTCCGCCTTCGTCGCGTTGCGGAAGGCGTGCTGGAGGATCATGTGCAGGATACGCGACGTGCGCACATTGTCCTGCCGTCTCGCGCGGGTCACAAGGTCGATTACGAGCTGGGTGGCTCCGTCGGGCAAGCTTGAAGAGGCGTGCAGAAGTAACACGTTGGTGACGTGAGTGTGCCAATTCTCCTCCGCAGTGGACGAGAGCAGGTATGTCGCGACTTGCTGGACCCTATCGAGAATTCCCTGGAGCACGGCTCGCGAGACCGAGCGCGCGAAGACAGGACTTTCTGAAGACGGGAGGTGCTTTAGCTCTTCGGCATAGATGGCGAGGGCGAACAGATGGCGAAGCGCCCAGACATTCTCCTTGGACATTTGACGGTCGTCTACAAGGTGGGTAAGAAGGCCGTTCACTACGCGTGCATACTTGTTGAACCCCGCAGAGTCGTACGTCGACGGGGAGGGGCCGGCGGAACGGTACAGAGTCGAAGGTGGCACGAGCGGGTCGACGGCGCCCAAGCTCGGATCGAGTGGGGTTGAGGGAAGGTCATCCAGCATCACTAAAAGCTCCTCCTGTGACGGGAAGATATCCGTGATGACGTTTATCTCGGAGTAAACCGAGGACTCGCAGAGTGTTTGCAGAATTTGCTGGGGACTAAAGGCGTATTTTAGCGGGTACCATACATGTACAACTCGGAGACACGTACGTGGGTTTAGCCGTGCAGTCTACAAGCAGCTCGCGAAGGAGCTGCTTTATGACCGCGATCGCACCAGTCTTGACTTCCGCCGAGGCAGCGTCGATCCCCGTTTTCCAAAGAGCTGCAGCGACGCCCTGCTGCACGGGCTGCACAGAAGCAAACTGCGGGAGCAGAAAGGCGTATAGGAAGAGGTACGGGAGGAGGGATGATGACACTGCCTCTAACGAGGCCACACCTTCTGGCCGCTCGCTCAAACTACGAACCAGCTCAAGCGGCGCGGCCAATGCGTGCAAGGACGCATGCTCGTCGTGGAGGACAGTGTCGAAGTGAAGAATGAACGAGTCCGCGAGACTGCGGAGCAGGTTCTCCCGGCAGTCCTGCGAGATGAAGAGATCTTTGGAAACCGGCGAGGTTAGCAAATTATTGGGCACGATGGAAAGGGATGCGTACTCGATGAGCCAAGCAGCCGGCGGGCCAAAGAAGTATGCGCAGCGCTCGTTGAGCCGGAGAGCAAATCTGTCAGAAGGCTTCCAGCAGCCTCGTCCAACTCCCCTTCTGAATGCAGGTACGTCGGCAGCAAGTTGTGCTCGGCAGCGTCGAGTAGCACAGGTAGCGTCGATTCGACGTCTTCCGGGTACCGCGCTACGGTCTCGAGTACTTGATGCCAAACAGCAGAGCACACAGCTTCGTCCTGCCGGTACTTGAGGTAGAGTAGGAGGAGTGACGGGATCGTTGTCAGCAAGCGGTGCATCTGGTGGTGCACAAGATCGTCCACTCGCTTCCAAGATGGTCAATAACGCCTGGAAATAAAGCGTTTACGTCGACGTTACCTTCGCAACTTCAGGATCTGTGAAGACATGTTCACCAAACGCGTCGAGGATGCCGACCAGGGATACCACCCGTTCGCGCTTCCCGTCCTCTGTCTCCAGTAGCGCGGAGCATTGGTCTAGCGCAGACCTGACGACCTGCACAACGAGTGCACGGGCTGAGTCCCCTGGTGGTGTTCCTGGCTCTAGCTGCTGAGAGAGCTGCTGAAGCACTTCAGGCACGAGCGCCGAGATGGCATCTCCGTCAGCCGCTATGGACTTTTGCACCGCTCCTGCAAGCACGTCCCAGGTTTCTGTGAAAAGGTCTGGGGAGATCTTGTGTAACGACGAGAATGTCCCGGCCAGACAGTCCCCTGCATCCTTCCCTCGAACCTTCAGTCGTCCCGAGGAAACCTCTTCCCAAGTGCGTACGATCTGGTCCCTCAGGAACGCCTTCAGCAGAGAATCCACGTCCGCCGCCTGCGCTTGGTCATCGCCACGGAGAAGAGATGCAACTACCTCCGTCGGAGCATTCAGTAATCGTCGAACGAAGAAAGTGAGCGACTCTGAGACGGAAGAGAGGAAAGCTGCAGACGCAGCCACACGGTCAAGCGAATTGAGCACACGCGCGTCGACTGCCGCCCAGAACGACGTGAAGAGGTCCTCGAGTGGATGTGGGGAGGATGTTAGGATCTGTGAGGAGTGTGAGCACGACTGGATAGATACTAAGATACAAACGTACCGATGGAGGGATGGTGGACAATATCACGAGAACAGTTGGATAGCCCTGCGCGGGAGAGCCTGAACAGCCCGTCGCGAGGAACTGCAAGAATTCAGTGTACGCGCGAGAGGGACCTGCTGGGCCGTTTGCAACGGGTTTAGGCGGTGGTGGTGCTTTCGGCGCATCTTCATCGTCACTCTCGCCGGAAGCCGAACCTTCGTCGTCTTCGTCCTTTTCAGCCTCTGCCTCAAGAACCCAGGCGTTTGGGTAATCTACACAGACTCAGTCTATCATCCAAGAGCAACATGGAATGGACCAACCCTTCAAGAACATCAGCAATGGTTGCCACATCGCAGCCCTGACAATGGTGTCGGGTTCTACCCAAGCCGACCGTAATACTGCGGAGCTGAGTACGTTGAGGAGGGGATCGAGGTGACCTTTGGGCACGTCAATCACACGCCGCACCATGTAAGCAAAGTTCATACCCTTGCATCTCTGCAACAAGGTTTGAAGCAAGGACCACGCCGATCTTCTCACAACGGGTTGTCCGAAACCATAGCTGTCTGTATCGGCGAACGGCGGCATGGTGCCGTGGTATAGCGAAGACCACAGCGCAGGGTTCGCAAGTGGGGCCAGGAAGTCTTCGATTGCAGGGGTCCCTTCGCTCGCCTTCTCCTTCTCCCTCGCTCTTTCCGACGCGCCAAACTTGGCATCTGGACATACGCAAAAACAGAGATATTATTGAATATGTGTACATGCGCGCCGGAGAGGATGTAGGACACCCACTCAAGACCCATTTGGTCGCGCCGAACGCGCCTACTCGAAGCCGTGCTTTCCTGTCCAGTTCATCCTCTTCGTCCTCCTCCGATTTTGGTCGTAGGAGTGCTTCGTCGTCCCGCCTGACAGGCGTACCACGCCCAGAGCCCCTCCTAGACGGCGTCGGTGTCGGTGCTGCTGTCGCTGGCGGATTGAGATAGAGGTATACTCCTCCGGGGTCAAGCAGAGTCCTCTGGACGAAGTCCCAGACACGGGGGAAGAGTGCCTCATCGAGCACAAGTTTGTCTTCAGATGGCCCCGAGGTGGTCACATACCTGCTCCAGGACTCGCGAGCATGAGAAGAAACCTGTCGATCGACGTCATGCGCCGCGAGACACCAGCTTCCAAGGATGGATTCTGCGTGATCGGAGGTTGCAACTTCGCGTATCTGGAAGAACGTCTCTTTGCGCAGGTCTGCAATCTGCAGGATGGATGTGTGCAGCCCGATAGCAAGCAAGCGGAGCCGTCTTGAAGGGTGCAAGAAGAGCGTAGGGAGGTGGTGCAGCTACGCTCGCAAATTAATCAGCAAGCGAGCGCGGGGAAAGTACAGCAGAAGAACGTACCCAGACTGGGACGGTATCCTGGAGCGTGTACACCAGATACTCATGCTCTCCTCCCCGCTGTGCCTTGGACACCCATGCCGACTGCAACTCCTCGAGCGCGCGGCGTTTGGTAGTGGCGTCCTTCTTAGAAAGCAATCGGAGCACGACCAAGAGCTCTGGCGGGAGCTTCTGCGCAAGACCGAGGGTATCGAGCGGGTTGGGCTGCACTGGGGCGGGTTTTACGGGCGGGATGTAGACCTTCTTCCGCGGCTCCTTCTTGTTCTTCTTGTCTTTGCCCTTCGGTCGCTTGTCCTTGTGCTCCAGAGGTTCCTCTGGCGCTCCGTGAGCAGTGGCGGCGCGCCGAGCGTGTTTCTTGCGCGTCCCAGACGACGCGGAGGACTTCGCTTTGGACGGCGGCATGGTCTAGCAGGTTTCGTAGAACGATGAGCAGAGGTTGGACATGAGGGGGAGAGGAGAAAGGCTATAACGGTATGCACGCGGCTCGTCGGTCCCTTCACCTCCTCCGAGTCAATGACGAAGTGGCGATCAAAGTCACGTGTCCATCGCGCACATCGTCCATCTGCGCGTTGGGCAGCGTAATACGGCTCGCGTTGGGCAGCGTGCAAGTGCAGAAATGTGTGGGTATGTTCAGGGTATGTTGTACAGGTACAAGAAAGTAGCGGGTCACTTCAACGAGTCCATAGCCTCCAACTGGTCCACCAGATCCTCCATGACCGACTTCGTCCTCTGGTGCCCTCCCGCACCTTCTCCAGCTGGCGACCCAGCCTCACCCGGGGATCCAGACTGGGCTGGAACACCAGAAAACCGCTTCGTGGGGACCAGCGGAATCGATTTGGGCTCGAAGCCGGGGGCGATCCTGTGCAGCGCCTCCCGTTTGCGACGCTCCTTCTCTTCCTCGCGCGCCTTGAGGTATGCCTCGCGGCGTGCTGCGTGTGCTGCGAGAGTGGATCGTCGCGATGCCTCCAATGTTAGGACATGCGGCTCGAGTGTGAACGGGTACACGAACTGTAGGAGGTGGTCGGTCAGGGGTGGTCGTGTGCTGTGGTCGATCGATGCACGACTCACGTATGCGGTCACACTATCAGGTAGCGGATGAATATCGGGAGGTAGTTCGACCTGGAGTGCAAACATAAGGCGTTGCACATGTTTCATCATGCTCTTGACGAACCGGTCGTGGTACACGGAGACTAGGCGACTTGATTAGAGGGACGTGTGCCGCGGGGGCGTACTGAGACTGTGCTACACAGGATTTAGCTGGAAATAGGCGTCAAAAGCACCGGCTTACATGCGTTGTTCATAATGTGCTAGAAGGGAGTATACCCGCAACGATTGCAGGAATTCTGAGGTCAAGCGGCCGAGCCTTACGAGCTTGGCAGGGTGATGTGAACTCCGAGTCGGACCGATCCTCGACTGCTAGTATATCGTTTAGATGCATCAATAACAGTATATATGCGTCGCGATACGTTATAACCCACCCTTAAGATCACTCCGGTTTGTATAGGCGGTCACAAGTGGTGGATATTGCGTTATAGTTACTGACGATGATCGTGGTGCCGCTCAAGCTCAACCGCTGGGCGTCTCGCTATGGGGGCGTAACGCAACCCCTAACCTCAGACGATATTCAAGCTTTGATCTACACTTCCCAACTAGAATGAGCGTGTCCCAAGTACTCCGAACCCAGTAAAATTCCATCCAAGATGCCCCAAATTTGCTATCAAGTCCTACAAATAGACAAAAGAAATGCGTGTGTGACTAGAACGCTCCCTTCGCGCTTCTCGCGTACCCATCGGCGAGGAGAATCGCCACCTCCTTCCAGGGGCCAGAGGCCAGCGCAACCTTCCTGCTGAGGTTGGCGAGCGCGCGCTGGTTATCCTGCGTCGCGGAATGGCTACTGTCAGCTATTTCGTGGCGTCAAGGCGACACGGGACTTACCACAGACGGGTCGCGCTTGACGTTCTCAAATGCGACCAGGTAGTTGTTCACCTCAGTCCCAAGCTGCAAATAGCGGATTCCCATTAGCAGGGGAAAGCAGGAAACGTGAATATATGTACCTGTTGGGTGAGATTAGGGAAGGTCTGGAACAATTCCACCTGGGTGTCCAGGGTCTTCTGGATCTCCTGGTTGGCCAGCACGACGTTGTCGACGTCAGCAGCTTCACGCTCGCGCGCGGCGGAGTTGGCCCTGATGAGTTTAGCCTGCGCGATGTCGAGCTTCTCCTGGATAGCTAGAGAGAAAGGGGCATTTAGTTCTGAAGATATTGGCCGTGGCAATGTGCAAGACTTACCATAGCGCTGAGCCTTGTTGGTGTCCTTACCGCCCCCGATTAGCTTGCTGACGGCAGCGGCGGCACCCGACTTCGCTTTCGCGAGCTCCGCCGCCTTCTTCTCCTTCGCAGCCTTATCGTCCTCCTCGGTCAAAGGAACCGTCTCTCCCGACTTGGGCTTCTTGTCCTTGCCGCCAGTGAACAAGCCGCCGATCGTCGTCGTCGCGCCAGAGGTGGCTTCTTCAGCCTCCGCCTCGTGCTCCTTCTTGATCTATGCTTAAGGTCAGTGATGATATATGGCGACGTTGATCGTCCCCAATCACCTTCGCGCTGAGCCTATGAGGAGTGCGTTAGTTAGAGTCGTAGATCAATGCACACAGTCGAGAGACGTGGCGTACTCCTGCAACTGCTTCTCGAGCGCCGCAACTTCAGCCTGCGCGGCCTCGAGCTCGCCCCGCACCACCGCGTCGCGCTCCTGCACGGCGGACGGAATCTCCCTGCCAAGCTGTTGGAAGCTGCTCTTGAGCGCGGCGAAGTCCGCGGCTTGGTTGAAGTCGATGCCTCGGAGTTTCTATACAGAGGCACGATAAGTTGGGAGCGACGGGCGTGCAGGCAGCGAGGCGGACGCACGATGTTCAAAGCGCCGAGTTCCTCGATCAAGTCGTCGGTTACATCGGGGTCGTTGATGTCACCTTGGAGCGAAAGGTAGTCTGGGACGGAATAAGTTATGTGTAAACACAAGCAATCGCCACACCTGGGAGCCTGTGCTTACACTTGATGGTCGCGGAGAGCTTGATTGCAGCGGCCTCCGACGTTTGGATGATATGGAGGTAGTTCTGCACAACGAGGGAGCTCAAGACAGAAGCAAGCGCGTAGATTAATGGAAAACGCACCTCTCGGTTCCCGGTCCACTGAGCGCGGAAGCTGGTATGCGCGAATTCATCGATGCGACCGATCTTGGGGTCGTTCTCGAGTATGAGGCGGTTCAGAGTGTGCGTGGTGTTGCTGAGGGCGCGCACGCTGCTGGCGGACTGGGCGACGGTCTGGGAGGACATGGTGAAGGATGGAAAGGCTGGCGGTCGGAGGAGGTTGAAGTGGCAGTGGTAGAATCTTGTTCTGGAGGAGGTGAGCCACTAACATGCCCCCCTATATACCTTGTGCAGCGCTTAGGCATTTAGGAGACTCGGCGGTGCAGTCCGTCCTTCAGCAACTGCACCTGCACAAGGACGCCACGCAAGGGTAGCAGTATTGCGTGTAACCCTGCAAGACGTAACACCGTCGAGCAGCTCCAGGAACCGGAGTGGGCGACCTCCGTTACGCCGTGCCTGGGCCACTGCTGTACCTGAGCTGGGCTCTCCGCTGGATCTGAAAGTACGACACAGGTCATTCATGGGTCCTATTCGCTCCGCAGATATGTCGAGTCCGCAAGAGCGAAAGTTCCGGAGACAGGTAGGCACAAGGGGAACATATTGCGGGGAAACTAGAGACAAATGTTTGGGGACACTGGCGCCCAGAGACCGCTCATTTCGGACAATGGGGTGGTATAGCATAACAGGAGCTAGATAGCGCAAAACTAGCGGGACACTAGAGGAGAATGCGAACTGCGGAGACACGTAGGCAGGAGGTTGTTTGTGTGCACGGAAGCCCAGACTCCACCGCTCGTTTCGGACAAGGACGTTCCTCAAGCGGAGTGCGAGTGGCAGATTTGTGGAGAGGAGCCATCACGAGCATGGGTCGCGGCCTATACGCCCGTCAGAGTTGGCAGACCGGCAATTGGATCCACCGCGACGAAGTCAGCATTGCATCAACGTGTTGGCGAGACAACGCGTAGAGGTTCTTGTATGCTCACTGGCAGCGCAGGAGGTATCGCTGTGATTGTCCCACATATCGTGCATCATTCCTGTGGCTTGAAATGAAGAAATGCGAGAGCTAAACAAGGAGCCTCCACAGGCGGTGCCCAGGACGGTGGTCGCAGAAAGGAAGTTCAACAATGGTGCGTGACATGGGTCACGGAGTAATTTAGGCGGAGGCTGTATAAAGTTACTTGACGCACGACTTATCCGTGCGTGAGTCCGCCTAACACTGTGGGCCACCCCCCCTTAAATCTATGATCTAATCGTGATATGATTGAGATAAATGACGAAATAAAATCACCATTATTTCGAGTGGCTCATTGTAGCACTAATTCAAAAAGCTGCTTTGCCTGAGTTCAAGATGTGATCTGCCAGAGAATCCGACACATATCTGAGAGCATATGCTGATCTGTTTGTTACATAGAGCAGAATGTAATACTGTGATTGTATCTGAACACATTTCTTTGGAATGCCTGAATACATTATGGTAAATGTAGTGATATCATTGTAATATATCTATCATTCATCTCTACCTTTTGATTGTGCTCGGATGTAGTATATATGCTGTCATTTGTTAGAGACATGGTCTTGAACTGTTTAAAACAAATTATAATGGATCTTTATCTCTTATAGCAGGGGTCTGTTTTACAAAGAAGG